TATGAATAAATATTAAAATATTATTTTAAATAAAATAAAATATTTAAAATAATAAGTAGATAATAACAAAAAAATAATATATTTATACTTTCAGATAAAAAAACAAAACATTAAATTACATAGTAATTTGTAACAAAAATGTGTATGTTAAAAATGTATATTAAAAAATGTAAACAATGTATATATTTTCCTTGAACCCATTTGTAACTGCAGATTGTTGAAAGAGTAATAAATCAAACTGTCCATCTACAGATGCGTTCATCAGGAGAAGTGAGAACGTGGCCTCACTGAATCAAGCATCTGATCCAAGTGAAACTGGAGCTGAAGGGCCCCGGGGTCCTTTATAAGGGCACAGAAGCGGCGCACCTGGCACTGCTCGTGTAGCAAATGTGCTGCTGATGACCAGAGCGCTGTGTGACAGTTTTGGGAACAGCATGCATCGGATATCAATCCAAGATGTGTCCTGAGAAAACTGCTACAGTCCTGAATTCATAACAGAGCTTTAAAGAGCGTCAGCCTGTCTCAGCCAATCAGATACACCCTGGGCCTGTCAATCATTTTACTCAATATGACTACAAAGGGAGTTTTGGGGAAAAGGGAACAACAAACATGGCTGACAAAGATATTTTGAAAAATGCGCTTAACACTTTATTTTAAAGTGTCCATGTTACATGCACTTACTATAGTAATAACAGTAAATTATGCATAATTACATGCAACTAAACCAAACCAAACCCTAACCTTACAGTAATTACGCACTGTTAATATTACTCCGTATTAAAGCATAGAATTACACCGCAACACGAACCAGGGTTATATCAGTATTTTTATATACTATTATAGTTTTATTATTATCTTGAATTAGCTATTTTTATATTTCCAGTTTTCATTTAAATTTTTAGTAAGTTTGATATGCATTTGTCCTTTTTATTTTTCAAATAAAAAATACTAATATTTATTTTTAGGTTTAATTTATTTTATTTCAGCTCTAGTGCAGATTAACTGATTGATTGATTGATTTCAGTTAGTCATTTTAATGCTTCTTTTTATATTTTCAGTTGTCAATTTAATTCTTAGTGATTTTGTTATGTGTTTTTGTCTTTTTATTATTACTTTTAAATACTTCTGTTTAGGTTTGAAGTCTGTCTAAGTTTAATTTATTCTTATTTTAGTTTTAGTTCACTTTTATTTTCATTTAAATGCTTCCGTTTTTAATATTTTCAGTTTTTATTTTAATCTGTATTAATTTTGTTTCATTGTATTATTATTAAGTTTAAATATTTACATTTTAATACTTAGATTACATGTATCTTATTATTATTATTATTATCTTTACATTTCTAGTTAGACATTTTAATGCTTCAATTTATTTTGGTTAGTTGCAACATTACATTTCTACATTTCATTAAATTTTTCATTTACATTTAATTTAATAATAATAATTATATATATATATATATAATAAATTATTTATTTAAGATATGAATATAAATAAAATATATTTATTTAAGATATGAATATTAGTTAATGATAACAACCCTGAAAAGGATACCTTAAAATAACTGTTTATTATGCACACAATGCAAGTCAAGTCCCCACCAAAGATGAGTAAATAATGCTAATTTAAACGGATGATTCACGCAAAAATCCAGAATTCTGCAAGTCTTTGTGAATACTGAGCTAATTAGAGTCTGAATGACTTCATCAGCGCACGAGTCACAGGATCTCAGTGATTCTACTGCTCGAAGGAGTTTGAGATTGAAGGAGTTTTATATAATCAGCAAACAATCATCATCGCTCTGAGCTCATCAGACTCCACGAGGAGCCTGGTTTAGCCTCATTCAGAATAAAACAGCTGCTTGTATCGCCGCCTGATTGTTTCTGTTAGCGAGTGTCGTCTGCGCGTCTGACTCAAGGTCTCCGTTGGCCCTCAGACAAAACAGAAGAAATCTTGCGCACAAAGGCCGTGACATTTAAGACTGACTTGAAGGCCAAGAACTCCTTGGAAACACGAAAAGTCACAACGCACAAACTCTGCGACCCCTGCGCAGGCCTCAGCTCAACTGTGCTCTTTTACACAGGCCACCTGCTGCCGAAGCCGTTTCACCGTTAGCACAAACTAATCAAATAACACCAGCACATGTCAGTCTTCAATGAAAAGCTGATCTGACTCTGGGAGCTGCAGGAGTGTTGTGTGTTTATAGCGCCTCCGGTGGCCACATGCTGTAACTGCGGCTTTTGCAAGCTCACTGCACTGCATCAGGTAATATTCCACTGGCTTTGATCTCCCCTCCCTCACTGTGTGAGTGTATGTGAGAGAGAGAGAGAGAGAGAGAGACTGCCGAAGCCGTTTCACCGTTAGCACAAACTAATCAAATAACACCAGCACATGTCAGTCTTCAATGAAAAGCTGATCTGACTCTGGGAGCTGCAGGAGTGTTGTGTGTTTATAGCGCCTCCGGTGGCCACATGCTGTAACTGCGGCTTTTGCAAGCTCACTGCACTGCATCAGGTAATATTCCACTGGCTTTGATTGCCCCTCCCTCACTGTGTGAGTGTGTGTGAGAGAGAGAGAGAGAGAGAGAGGGGGCGGGGCTTGAGCGAAAGAAGCTCTCCATCGCCCTCTGCCTGTCACATGACAGAAACATACATTCTTCATTTAACAAATCAGTGTTATTTTAGTGTCACTGATATACTATTGTAGTTTGTTAACATTTAGAATTGGATTTTATTTTTTATTTTCACTCATTTTATTTAAGGTTTTAATTTTGTTGCGTGTTTTTGTCATTTTTATAATTTATTTATTTCCCTAAATGTCTATATATTTTTTGTTATTTAATACATCAAGTTAGATTAAAAATGCGAAATGCTGCCTTAGCAACTAGCTTAGTTTAAGTGTTAATATATTTAATTTCAGTTAACGTTTATTTTATTTCAAGTAATGTTATGGTTTTAGTATCATTGATATACTATAGTTTGCTAATATTTAGATTTAGATTTTATTTTTCTAGTTTCTGTCATTTTTATTAGTTTTTGTCTTTTTTAAAAGTTTTTCTATATTTTAATTCTTTTAATTAATACATTATTATTATTATTTTTTTTAAAATTTGTTTTATCATTTATTTGAGTAAATCATGTTAAATAAAAAATGAGAAGTTGCCTTAGAAACTAGCTGAAATAAAATAAGTTTAGGTGTTTTTATGTTTTATTTCAGTTAACGTTCATTTTATTTGTTATGCATTTTTTAATGGTTTTAGTATCATTGATTACATTGTGTTTTTCTGTTTTCACTTAAATGTAAAATTTTGTTGTTTTTTGTCATTTTATTTGTTGTTTTTTATTAGTTTTAGTTATTTTAGTACATAAAGTTACACTAAACTTGTCAACTTGCTGAAACGAAATAAGTTTTAGTTTTTTTATATTTAATTTCACTTAACATTGTTTTTTTTGTTTTTTTCCAAGTAATTATTTTTTTTTATGGTTTTAGTTTTAGTTGGACCAATCCAGCTTGTAACTCTTTTTTTTCTGTGCGGAATCAAGGTTGAAATGTGCAGAATATGATAAAATGTGTTTAAAAGAGTTGAAAGTACAAGCAGTTGCCCGATATTTCAATAGTTGTTGCTGGTTCTGATATCTAATGAACAGGGTGACTTGAAGGCCAATATGATACTGATTAATATGGTGGCATTAATTAATGGTAGCAAAAGAAACATGCACTAAAATTGTGGAAATGAACTAACCACTTATATTACAAAATATTTTTCTCAGAGAAGGCTGCCAAAACTAATAATCTTAATAGCGCAGCGCCCTCTGGTGGACATTTACAACCTCAATAAGAGGACACGAATACAACAACATGAAGGACAGTGACACACAGCATGTTCACAGGGTGTGTTTAGTTACTCACGGGGAACAGCACTATGGGAACGGTCAGCGTCACGGCCGTCAGCACAGCCAAACGCACCAGCAGAAGCATCGTGTCAAACTTGTAGACCTTTGTGAAGGTGTGAAGCAGCTCTGCCTCGACGTGATCTGACACAGACAGACAGATGTCGTGATGGAAGAGCGCTGAAGGTGTGTATGAGAAGAGTGTGTTTGTAACGTACCATAAAACGTCAGGTAACCAAACAGAGCGGAGAGCAGGTACATCACCAGCATGGCCAGGATGGACAGGTTTGATACCGTCTGCATCTTCCTCCGAGAGCGACTGAGGAACACGAGGAGTCACGTGAGTGAACGACAACAGAAACAGCTTTAGAAAATATTTGTGACCCTGCAGCACAAAAGCAGTCTTAAGTCACCATACATCAATGGAAAGCTTATTTATTCTAAATATCATTTTTTATGTCTAAATATCCAATTGTTTTTGTTACTAGACCTGATGCTATTTGAAAAAAAAGTTAAATTGTCAAGTATGTGTGTGTGTGTTATACACACACACACACACACACACACACACACACACATACACATACATATAAATACACACGTAAAACTATCAGAAAGCATACTGTGGCAGCAGATTTAATTTGATATATATAATATAATATAATATAATTGTAAATGTCAATGTTTTTGTTACTGGACCTCAATCTATTTACAAATAATAAGAACAATAATAAAAAAAACACCTTAAAATAACTATTTAAATAATATAATATAATATAATAATACAGGCCAATGTTCTAAATTCACATTTATTGTTACTGGAACTGATGCTATTTGAAAATAATAATACTAATAATAATAACATTATTTATATATACATGCCTCTGTGATCAGTGACAGGACTGTTTCTGCTGCATTTCTTGTGTTTCGGCTCTGATTTGGTAGGGGTCTTGACAGCACACACACAAACACACACACACACACACACGCGTGCACACACACACACACACACACACACACACACACAATTTAAATAATTACCTGTAATTAGGCAATTTACATCTACATTGGTGCATTATGTTTTAGTCTTTTTAGTCTTTAATTTATCGGTCAGTATAAATCTGACTACACTGACGCTTTCTTATTTTTATTTTTGTTTTATTTTGCATATGTACAAAGTTTTTCTCACTCTTTGAGTTCGCTGTAGATGGGCAGAACTTCCGGATGACAGACGAAGGCAAAGGCGAGGATGGGAAGGGTGTACGCGGTCTGAAAGACACAAACACAGCAAACGCCGTGAGCCTCTCTCCACACACAGCGTCTAGTCTGACAGGCTCAGTCACATGTTTGTGCGGCGTCACCTGGGAGTTGAACACAAAGTATTTGGGTGTGCACATGTCCTGGTGGTCATCAGGGTGAGGCGTGAACTGGACGGCGCTGTGGAGAGGGTCGAGCACCGGAGCGTGAGGATCCGGCTGAGCGTCAGAGATATACGCCAGCGCCGAGGCGTTCTGCAGCGAGTACAGACCCAGAGCCTCCGAGCCGTTCACGCTCATGTTGGACTCGTGCTGGTAGAAGAACGGCAGAGGACAGGGCAGGATCGTCTTCTTATAGATCAGCTGAGAACGAAACCAATGCACCAGAGAGTGAGCGTCACCAAACAGTGCAACAAGAAATAGTTCAACCCAAAGAGAAAGTCCTGTCATCGTTTATGTCAGCCTCAGCTCATTTTGTGCTCCAGAGAATAAAAGTTACTCAAGCTAGCATCATCTAAAACTAAAAGCATTAAACAAAACATTTTTGTTACTTGAAATAAAATAAATGTTAATGAAATAAAATATAATAAACTTTTTTTAAAGTTTAATTTGATGTTCTCAAAATAACTAAAACTAAAATAAAAAGTACTACAAATACATAGACATAAAAAACACAAAAAATAATTTAAAAAAAACCTCTAAAATGTTAACTAAAATTTGTTATTAAAGGTTTTGAACAGAGAAATTATAGTTTACTAAAATTCAAAACATAAAGCTAAAAACAAATTTTCGTTGCTTGAAATAAAAATACAAAAAATTAACTAAAATAACTTGTATATTTATATAGAAAAACTACTACAATGAAAAAAACAACAACAAAATGACTAAAATGTTATCTAAAATAAGTGATTGATGGTTTTGAACAGGGTTATTATAGTTAACTGAAAGCATAAAAATAATTTTCATTACTAGAAATAAAATAAAATAACCTTTCGATTTATTTTAATTTAGTGTTTAACTTGATGTACTAAAACAAGTAAAATAAAAACGTTCATAGACATTAAAAAAAACAATTAAAAATACTAAAATGTCAACTAAAATTAAAACAAAAAAATATCAAAACAAAAAGTAATATAAAATATTAATAAAAACTATAATAATTAAGTTTTATAGTGAAGTCTGTTCTGTCATGCTCTGCACTAAAAAAGTTCAATAAATATACTTTATTTTCAAAAAAACAAAAAAAACAATAGTATCTCAATAATAGTAAATGAGCACTGCTTTGGAACAGAATGAGGACGAGTCAATGATTTTCACTTTTACTGAACTATTCTTACTCGCACAGAAATGTTGTAACCTCATTTGTGACCCTGGACCACAAAACCAGACTTAAAGGGTTAGTTCAGCCAAAAATGAAAATTAGGCTGTGTTTTACTCACCCTCAAGGCGTCCTAGGTGTATATGACTTTCTTCTTTCAGACGAATCCAGTCGGAGTTATATTAAAAATTGTCTTTGATCTTTCAAGCTCTATCGTTGCATTCCTTCTGTCCAAAAGACGTGAAATAAAAAGCACCCTTCCACAAAAAAAAGTGTCTCACACGGCTCCGGGGGGTGAACAAAGGCCTCCTGTAGCGAATCGATGCGTTTTTGTAAGAAAAATATCCATATTCAAAACGTAATAATCACTTGAATCTAGCTTGCGCTCACTGTTGTAAACGGAAGCAG